ACAGTTAGTGTTACAGGACAACTGATAAGGAAGCCATCAAGAAGACAGAAGTAGACAGAAAAGCCCTTTGTTATCAATCAGAATAAGCTATCAGGTCCCCATGCAGAGGACACTGTGATAAGACTGTATAAACTACCTAAATGAGAAATATACTGTGCCCTGAAGGAGTAACAAGATCTGAGACAGGTGATTCCACCACAAACTAGAGCTTAGAAATTAAGCATACATAACAAAACACAAATTCTGACCCATGAAAAGGAAAAGAAAGGCTCTCTCCATAGGGCCTTTTCCATAAAACTAAGTTGGCAAGAAGAAACATATGCACTGCCCTTAACATACATCTTCAGGTGAAGATTTAGTCAGGGCAACTATCCAAAGACAGGAAACATTTGCAGATTCTGATCAAACAGTCCACTGAAAGCCCAACCTGCTGGTCTGGCCAACATCATAAACATGAGGAATGAGGAGCACATTCCAAAGAGCTAGGTAGGCACACTGTCCTACCTCACTTCACCCAAATACCCACCTGGCTTACTTCCTCACCCCCTTTCAGGTAATTACTTAAGAGTTGCCTTCTCAGTGACTCCTTTCCTGGCCACTGAATCTAAAATTGCATGCCCCACCACCACCGCAGCAAACATCACATCATTTCCTGGCCCCATTTCCTCCTTCATAGTACTTACCAGTTTCTAACACTCTAGATATTAGGCATTTCTTTATTGACACTCTCTTTCACTAAAATGCATGTTCCATTGAGTCGGAAAGATAGTTGTCTGTTTTGTTCACTGTTGTATCTGGAGCACCTAGAACAGTGCCTGACATATATCAATCAACAAGACTACTGAATGAATAAATGAACAAATGCATGATTGTACTGACACCTGTAATTTTTGTTTAAAGATAGTACATAACGTAGTAAACACTTCAATGGAAAGTAATGTCTTTTATTATACATACATAAATAAATATATATATATATATATATACACACACACCACATATATATATATACACATATATATATATACATATATACACCCCTATTATATTTATATAAATACCATATGTGTATATATATATATATATATATATAGGTGTATATATATATATGTGG